GACGATGTTGATTTTGTGAATGGTCGTCTGTCGGAGAACGACGAGCTGGAGAACGACGTCAGAAACGCGAGGAACCTCGTCAAGGAAGATTCGCCGGATTCTTCGGACAACACGTTCGAGGAAGACCTGCCGTACGACGAGGAGAAACCCAAGGAAACATCGGTGCAGCAGACGAAATTTCCGGGCCTGAAAACGGAGGAGAACGTTGGCAACGATACCGACGACCACTCGACGTATAGCAGCATGATCAACATCCCCGGTGCTCTCACTCTGGAGTGTCCTACGGGAGAGCGAGTGGTGGAGGTGACGATGAAGAACGAGATACAACTGCAGATAGAGAATGGAACTGTAATAAACAGCAGCGACGAGGACAAGATGTGTCTTCTGTTGAAAAAGCTCGCCACGAGTCCAACGGTGAAGGACGACGTGCATCTACCGAGGGAGCCGCAGGAAGACAGCATCGAGGAGCAGGAGGAGGAGGAGGAGGAAGAGGAGGAAAGACCTCAGAAGATCAGACGGTGTTCTTCGTTGAAAACCGGGAAAACGCCACCAGGAACACCCGGAAGGAAGAAGATAGTACGATTCGCGGATGTTCTAGGCCTAGATCTCGCCGACGTACGAACGTTCTTGGACGAGATCCCGAAGATACCGAACTCAGCCTACAGCGACCTCATTTACGACGACATTTTCCAAAAGGACACCAGTCCTCTGAGCACCTCGCCGAACACCACTCAATGGGGGGCCAGATACATGGAGAGTCGACGTGGATCGGGCTTCGCGCCACCTTCCCGCAAGATAGACAGAACTTTGGTGCCTCTGTTCGAGCAGCCTGGCGGTCAGCCCAACTTCCTGGACCTTGTCCGCGAGCGTCGAGTGTGCTTGGAGAACGTGCTCATCCAGGACCCTCTCACGCTCTGCATTCACGGCACGGTTCGTGTGATCAACCTGGACTTCCACAAGTCGGTGCACATCAGATACACGTTGAACTCGTGGCGGAACTTCAGCGACTTGCAGGCCATCTACGTGCCTAATTCCTGCGACGGTTTCAGCGACAAATTCTCGTTCGTGCTCTACTGTCACACGTTGCCGGTCGGCCAGAGGCTGGAGTTCGCCGTTCGATTCCAGTGCAAGGGCGAGCAGTACTGGGACAACAACGCCGGGGCCAATTACTGCTTCCAGTGTTTGCCGGCTTCGTCCACCGTCGGCTACATACCGATCACAGCCCAAGAGAACCAGCAACACGAGTGGTCGCCTGTGTTCTACTGATGGACAGCACGGTTCGAGCACTGGATACCGGGACAAAGATACGGCGATGCCTCGCGCGCACAAGGTGTCTAAAGTGGATCCGAATAATGGCTAACAAGCGACAGACAGAGAGGGAGAGAGAGAGACAGAGAGACAGAGAGAAAGAGAGATAGAGAGCCTACGGTTGTGTTCCTAGAGTATATGCCGTGCTGTACATAACTGTCCTATTCTCGAGTGGCTCGAAGGAACGAGGTGAGAGGCAGATCGAGGAGCAGGGATCGCACCGGCGTCAATTATTCTTTCCTGCCGTTTTCCGGACAGCCTTTCAGTGCACTGGAGAAACTCGACGCACCTGTTAGACTGATATTTTTTTACACGTTCGTTGTTCCTTGTTTGCGAGCGAGAATATGTATTCGGGATAGACGCGAACGTCAGTTCTTTGAACGAGCCGGGACTGTGGGAGATGTCATTAAATACGCATAGCTCTTCGAAGATGGCAAAAGAAGAGGATTTGATCTTTGGAAGAGTGGAGCCTGGGTGCTTGGAAACTCAGAAAGAAAATATTTGAAAGGCGATGGATCGGTGAAGGACTGTTCGCGAGAACATTGGAGGATTATTTTCACGTTCCTAGAAAGTACCTAATTTTTGCAGAGTTTGCACGATAATCGAGCCTAATGTGAATCTGAGAAACTTTCAAACTGATTACAATGCGCGATGGGCGGTGGTTGAAGATTACGAGAGAGAGACTGTTGTTTCGATGTATGAGAAGAAGGGGTTCTAGGATTCTACTGATACCGAAATCGAAGGCTCCTTTTCCTTGTTTCCTTTTATCTTAAACGTTAACGCACGTTTTACGCAATTGCACGGAATATTCTCGGATCGATCAAGGTCGAAACGACCTGTCGATGAACTTTTATCTACGAACATATCTGCTCAGCAATTTCTGGGCTACGACCAATCTGGTTCTTCTTACGAAACTTACTTCGTTTAACACATTCGCTGCTATGTTACATCACTATGTAAATGTTAAATAAGTCGAACGAACAAGAAGCAGAACAAAGAAAGAAAAATAAAAAAAAAAAAAAGAAATAGAGGCTTTATGGAGGAATTTATTCGAATAGCAACGAATGTGTTTAACTCACTGACACAGCCTGTATTCTTTAGCCCCATAGATGGTACGAATATCGTAACGAACCAATACATTGGACACTTTGAGACGAGACTTTTCTATTTGTTTAAATCAAAATGTTCGACCAGTGCCAATCTGACCTAGTGCCATCGGACGAGTTACACCAGTAAACTATTAATAACAAGTCAGATGTACGTAATACCATGTTCGTAACATAGATTTTTTTTTAAACGAAATGTGATAGCCCATGAGCAACGAGTTGCTTTGTTCCCCCGATTCTAAATAATATTCGCCGGATAACGGTGGCGAGTCGGGGGAGATCGAGGCCTGATAGATTAATCGCGAACACCTGTATTAATCCCCAAGACAATGATAGTAATTCGATTTTATTATTCACGGTTTTATTTTTATTTACGTATGTGTACAATCCCGCTAGGGTGCCAGGAACACAACGACATTACGAAATCGGAGATTTAGTTCATTGTTAATTGAACAGCACGTTGAAATTTCTTCGACTACTTGCCACCTCTTTTTCTACTTCTTGGAATATAATGTGTAATATTCAATTTAATTTTTACTCGC